CCGGGGGCCCGGGGGGGGGCGCCGGGGGGCCCGGGGCCGGACTGGGGGCGGGAGAGGGAGGCGGGCGGGCCGACGGAGGCAGCGGAGGCCGCTGCCTCCGTCGCCCGGGCTGTGTTGGGGGGGTTGAGGCCTGGCGACCGCTGGCTGCTGCCGCGGTCGCCGGCCGGGTCTGTGGGCGAGAGAGGGAGGCGGGCGGGCCGTTTTGGAGAGGGTGGGGAACCGGCGGACGGGGCCTGAAGGCCCCATGCCGTCCTGCAGTGGCGGACCCTACCGGCTCCGTGGGCTGCCAACTGAATGCGACCCGTCAGGGAAGACGACGCTGGCTGCGATGACTGGCTCCCTCCCCTCCCAGCCACCCAGCCAATGGCAGGCCAGGTTCGCTGAGGGAGCCAGTCATCGGAGGCAGCGTCTTCTGAGTGGCAATTTTTCCGCCCATACACTAATGGGGCGCATTTTAGAACTTTGGCACCCACTACTCTTTTATTATAAGGGAGAGATTAATTGTATAAATGGGTTTCAAATTTTCTGAACCATCTTAATTAATTTTTTTTCTCACAACACCCTCATCTGACTGCAAACTCCCACTTGGCTCCATGTGCTGTTCCTGAAGGTCCACTACCCTGTAGGAATAAAATTTCAGATGAGTCAGTGAATTGCATCTGGAAGAAATGGGAAATTCCTGTTCCACAAAGTTGATGGGTAGCTGTTTACACACCAATGCATTTAGAAGTATGTAATCCTGTAGTATATGTGCATAAATCTAACTAATTTCAATTATACTTATTCATATGTGGCTGAATACAGGAATGCAAGCAATTGCACTGTTCTAGGACTTTCTTATGGGCAGCTGAATTTCTTATGCTTGCACACAACTCTCTCACCTGCAAGAAGAGAAGGCAGATATACATGTACATTGAAAGAAAATTTTCTGCCCTCCAATACAATGATTGGGGGAACTATGGCCCAGGAAGTCTGTGTGGACATAGATTTCTGCATCAGGATTGGAGATGTGTAGTGTTCTTAATGAACAGAAAACACCCTAGAATAATATTCTTTGAAATTTAATTAGTTTGATTAGTCAATGGTGGTATCCTAAATAAATTTTGTTTTCAGTGAAGCTTCATAATTGGGTCTTTAAAATTCAAGTCTTAACTTGAAATTTAATTTTCCCTTTAAGTTTCCCTTGCTCTTGAACTATCAGCTTTACTACTGGAGAAGTCTGAGCAGTTTCAAGAGCTGTGATTATGGCTTCTTCTAAATTTCCAAAGCTTGGTTTGGACTATTGTATGCCTTAATTACCAACTTTAAAAATAATTTTTTTTAGGCATAAGGTATGGTTGTGTTGTCCTTTTTGTCAGTTTGCCTGTATATAGAGAGCTTCTAGGTACAGCCAGGGCTCTTTTTGTAGAAAAAGCCCAGCAGGAACTCATTAGCATAATAGGCCACACCCAACAGCAGGAACTCATCAGCGTATTAGGCCACATCCCCTGACAGCACAGCTCATTAGCACATGTTACCAGGAGTGTGGTCATCCAGCCACACCCACCTTTCCCTTCTTATTCTGTTTACCTTATTCTGTATACCTGTTTACCTCCGTTCCTGTGCGTTCCTGCCCAAAAAGAGCCCTGGTACAGCAGTTCTGAAGTCTGCCACCTTTTGGTAGGACAGTAGAGGGGAAAATACATCGAAATTTGCCTTCAGAGCAATGACATGACAGTACTTCTGGAGTGAATCTGGAAGTGATGCCATTGCAACGATGAACACTCTAGGATTCACCAAAAACTCTGTGGTAAAGCCATAGATTTTCCACTGAATACTAGGGTGTCATGTTGACACAATGATGCCAGGCATGACATCACTCCAGTGGCACTTCCCCTTGTCCCCCCACCCCCCAATCTCCTGCAGGGTGCAAGCTGCTGGTTGGAAAACTCTATACAAATATGATGATAAAACATCCTGAGACAAACGTGCAGGCTTTATTGTTTTCAGTTTTCACTGGGGCCTACATGTACAGTTCATCTTAAATAGAGTGCTGTCAGACATTTCAAGAATCATAGAAGCCTGAATGAGCCATACTTCCTATTCTTGTGCTCGTTCTCTAATGTTTGAAAAAGAAGCCTGTGCAGAGAAGTAAGTAATCTCAATGGGTGGCTGTGCTAGCTCCCTCTTCAAACATAGCAAAAAATGTGCAAAAAAAATATATAAAATGTGACTCACACAGAGCCTCTTGAAACATGCAAAGACTTCTAGAAAGAGCTACAGAATTATAAAAATGTATCTACCATCTGAATTTACCCAAACTACCCAATTTATAATTTAAAAGCTGTTATAAAATGATCTGTTATATATCTAGCATAAGCAATATAAATTATTATGAAACTGAGATAAGGAGATATTTGAAAAATAATGACGGAATAAACCTATTGTTATAAATATTTATAATTATGATAGTGACTTTGTCCATGAAACTGTCAATTTTAATTTCCAGTTTTATTTAGAATTTAAAGTGAGAACAGGAGAAGCTCAGATAGTTGCAGACCCAATTAATA